TCGCACCGATGCCAATAGCGGAAGTAAGACAGCTTTGGCTAAGGGTTTACCCAGTTAGAGAGGGGTCCTTTGATAGGACGCGTAGATGCAGACTCCAGCCACGCCAGCCATCTGCGTACCCGCCCGTCTCTGATTTGCGTGGTTCTGTCATGACGTCGGGCCCAGGTGAGGGCTAGAATGCGATAGATGCAATGCAAGTCACCGTCCCTGCACCACCCTGCTGCGGAGCACGTAGTGGGCCTCGTCGAAACCGACACAGATTGATTCTTGTGCACGCGCTTTCTTTTAGGTACGTTTATCATCCGTTGGATCCAAAAATATCAAAACGTCGTATTAGCGTTTGTATAGTTGAGAAGTGTGTCGTACTTTGCGACTGCAGGGGGTCATGAATAATGAGCAGAGCAGTCAGACGACATCACCGTTAGATGATTAAAAAAGTTTGGTTTACGCAAGGAGCCGACGGAAGTTACAAGCTTGACGATAAGTAAGAAATTACGAAGTTTTCTCACTTCAAAACACCTCGAACTGGCAGTAGTAGGTGCAACTTGGTTAAGCAATTAGACTGAATTTTATGCTCATGTTGCATGTCTGCCCTTCGCGGGCTTTCCTCCAAGGTTACTGTTTTTTTACAGCTTCAGATAAGCCTGTTCAGGTGTCCCAGCTCTAGCGCTGGGGTCTTGTTTGGTCGCTAGCGCGGCTGCCAGTTATTTCAAATCGCGAAACTCCTGGGTCTCCTTTCTCTCATTATCTAAACTGTTTTCACTTACAGATCTCAATTCTGACGGCTTCATCGATGAGGAGGAGATCCGTGCCGTTTTGCTGCCTCAGGTGAGAGGGAGAGAGAGACTCCTAAACATATTTTTCGAGGTCCTGAGTTGTTGAGCAAAGACCCCATAGTTCTTGCAACACAGCTGAGCAATCAAGTTGTCTGTATTCACCATTACATTTACAAACTGGAGGGGCTACGTTGGTAAAAAAAAAATGGAAAGACGAGGAAAGACCTTTTTTCAATTTAATCGTAATCCTAGGCTGTTCCATTTCCTAAAAATCGGAAAATCAGCAAGGTTAAGCTCGATCGATATTAATTCCAACGACAAAGCCCCAAAATTACGTCTTCTTCACTGCAGTCAAGGGTTAATAGAAGGTTTTCACATATTTGAGTCATTATTTTGACCCAATTGTGAAAAGATTGACGGCCCTGATAGGGTTCGAACTCATGACAGCTGGGGGAATGCTTGGCAAGGGCTGCTTGTGCGATCCCACTTGCCGGAAACAATCGATAGGTAGGCGCGTGATACGGGCACGCTGGCACTGGGATAGGGTGGTTTAACGGACGGTAATGTGTTGGCAATCAAAATAGATTTATATGACCACCGCCATCGTTCAAGTGAACTAGTTTTTCTAGCCCTGAATTAGACCCTTTACGTATCTACCCATCCACACCAAATTCACCCTGTCCATTGTCTTCCTTGCCGAGTTAGTCCCACAAGCAGTCCTTTACAGCTAACACTCTAAACGCCTTATCTATGAGGCCCCACCGGTGGCCGTAGTTCAACTACCGTTTAGATCAAGTTACTTGCTCGTATGGAATTCACAAATTCGCCCATTTTCATTCCACATATGACTGCTTAGAGTTTACTGAAGTAACCTAAAAATACTTTCAAGTCGAACCTAAGCTGGAAAATCGTCATCTTACGAAGAAGAGAAGTTTTGTAAAACAAGGTCCAGAATCCCGATCCTTTGCTGAATCGACTCGCTTTGTACCGTTAGGTTAGACTGAAACTTTGCGAATCTATTTAGTTTTCCTTTCTTAGTAATTTCCGCTTCCCTTTCGCCCTGTCGCAGGTCAAGAATATGAAACCAGACTCAAAAATGGAGCGTGAACGAATTCTGTTTCAAATGACCCAAACTGTCCTCAAAAAGATGGACAAGGACGATGACCGCCGAATTAGCATGAAGGAGCACACCGACTTTTCGAACTCCAAGGAGTCCGTCTTTGACGAGGAATGGGATGTAAGTGCTGCCTTCCTTTTACGCCGAAGCACAATCACAGACATAACCTTGTATTACCGCCCTGCCTGCCCACCCGACCGATGTATGTGCCCACCCTAGTCACACCTCTATCGGCCTAATCATTTACCTGCACGACGCACATAAGCGATCCCCACCCACCTGTGCGACGAGGTGGAGAACTATAAACGCTCTCGTAACATGGGTGGCTATGCGCTACATTTCGGAAACATTATCTATTACCGTGTCCCAACACTAAGTCTAGCCCCTTTCTTGGCTCTAACCCTATCCCTACCTACTTCTAACTTGCATTTTCCTGGCGACATTTAGCGCAAAGCCACCTGTGTTACAGTGCGTTTCTATTCCACTGACCTGCAGGAGTAGGTTACATAAACTAGCC